TGACTGCAGGGATTCATCTTCTTGGTTCTTTCGGTAAAGTCACGTAGAAGGGAAGTAATAAAATAATAAAAATAAAACATAATACAATTCTTCTCACGACGTTTCGGCCACAACGGCTGCTTGCGTTGTGGCCGAAACGTCGTGAGAATTATTTTATTATGTTTTATTTTTATTATTTTATTACTTCCCTTCTACGTGACTTTACCGAAAGAACCAAGAAGATGAACTTTAACTTCACCGCACGCGACCCTGCCGGTCGACTGGCGTAGTGAAGCAATTCTTACCGCTCAGTGGAACAGAGGCGGGCAGCGGATTTAAGAAACTGTTCCCCATTGTTTCAACTGCGGTGCCGGGAGATAATCGAATCCAAGGCCGTAATTATAATATTCAAATATAATATTCGAATATGCTCAAAATGTTCCCCCCAATATATTGCTATAAAATAGATTTCTGTTTATATGATTGTGGTTATGGTTGTACTTTAGAAATCCCTAATCTCTGCCATTACATGCAATGAAACAAGAAAAGGTCAAAAAGAAGAAACAGAGCTATGTAATACAATACACTATTAGATATTATTGTTAAAAGGAAATAAAAAGTCAATCCCATGCGTTAGTGAATTTTCTAATCTTTTAGGCAGGAAATTCGTTATCAAATTTAGATTTTTTGGGGGGGGGGGGGACCCCACGACCCCCTGGAAGATTTGGGTCCCCCCCCCCCCCCAATATTGACTCCATGGCTACGGCCTTGGTCGAATCGAACCGGCGACCTCTGGACTGCAAGGCCAGTGCGCCTGCTCGCCATTCTCGCTCCACCACCACCACCAGCAGCAGCACTGTGCTTGGTAGAAATCCCTAATAATAATGATGCAATATGGAACGTAGAATGGGACAATATAAATAGCCCTCATCTAAACCCAAGCCACCTGTTGTAGCCGGGAAATATCGGTTCGCCCGCGTGAGACGTGTGACATTTGAGCCTGCAGCCGATTTTGTTGGGATTTTTCGTCGTTGTAAACGCAGCAACACAAAACACACCGCGCTAGAGACACGCGCACTGCCACACGTGGGTTTATCCAGACAGGCGTGCTACTACGACACGTTTCAGTGAGCAGGGACGTTCACAGCGGGTGGGGGGTGGGAAGGGGGGCTGCGGGGCCCGGGGCAACCCACTCTGTATGCCCCCCCCCCCCAACACCTTCAAACTAAACCGGGAGTATCACATATACAACTGTGACGTCGCAGAGTGCCCTCCCCCCATCCCCCAAAGCTCGGGGCCCGGGGCGGTCGCCACAGATTCGCCGTTACTCCTAGGGAACCGCTCTGCCGCGTGAGCTCACAGCCATCCAGGTGAGCCGAGGTAGCGTGCGAAACAAAACCGAACAACGCCCGGCGTTTTCTGCGTTAAAGCCAAAATAATAATGTACAACCTCCAGGGTTTAAACCCGATTGTGATATCGGCGTCGCGCGAAATCTCGCGCAGCGGCGGAGCGAGAACTGTCCGCGGAAGTGGACATCGCAGAACTACTCATGAGATGCATGTCCAATGAAGAAGGGCCTTTGCACACATCGCCCTATGATGTCGATATTATATCGCTTTGAAGGTCACGCGGTGTTATTGACGAAAGTGTTGCGGGTTTTGTCTGTTATCTGTGATTGTTGCACAACTACTGCCAACGCAGCAAAGGCATCCAAATAATGCGTTCACTTTATGAGATCTCGGGGTGATCGATCGGAGTTGCTGGTGGTGGTGGTGGTGCCCCAGGTGTGGAACTTTCGATTGGAACCCCGCCACCCCAGGTTGGAGAACTCGCTCGCGTTAAAATCAGCCTCTCGGACAATGTCGATTTTTTTTTTAAAGGTCTGACTTTAATCTTCTTGGTTCTTTCGGTAAAGTCACGTAGAAGGGAAACAATTAAATAAAACATGTATTATTATTTTATTATTTCCCTTCTACTTGACTTTACCGAAAGAACCAAGAAGATGAATCCTTGCAGTCACGAAAGCTTTAAATCGAAATTTTAACTTTAAGTTCTCACTTTTAAAATAAACCCATCCATTCTTTGTTAACAACAGATTTCTTCCAATCGGCTACATTCCTCTCTGGCTATTATTGGAAATGATTATATTTTATCTTTTTCACGCACGGCGCTTTGAAACATCGTAAAAATGCGCCTATTGAGTTTAAATGATTATTATTAGTATTATCCCATCGAGGAGTGCAACGTGGTCCACACGGTTAGAGGACAGACCCCCCCCCCCCCAAACAAAGACAAAGAGCCACCGTTTAGCCTTAACAACACACAACCGGCGTGCCGTACTAGTAACGAATCGGTGCGTTCTGCTTCCGTGTCAAAACCTTACCAATTGGCTGCGTCGGGTGGTGGCGGGTTTAACGACACATTGATAGATTTACGCGATCTAACCCGCCCAAACAAAACCTGTAGTATGGATGATATTGGTCGTGACAGCCTCTTACGTGTTGGCACAATTATTTCCTGCGGCCAGTGTCCCAAGTCCCTGGGCCTCTTGCGAGCGCCGGGCTCGGTGATGAGAAAGTCGCGCTCAGAGCGCGGCGCGGGGGGACTGCACATTCCACAGTTCGCTGGGTCTCTCGTGGCCCAAGAGGCGGTCAGGCCACTGACTTGCTTCAACAACAACAACAACCACAACAACAACAACAACTCCCCGTGCGCGTTTCTAATTCTGTTTGCGACACTGCGTCGGCAGTGGCGCTTCGGAGACAAATAACAAACACGCAAAAACGCGTTCTCGTCAACGCCGCCGTGGCCCAAAGCGGATGATGTTTTATTCTGTCAACGTTTCGGGGCCAATTGAGCGTGTTCGTTGTTCTGCTGTTCGTCAGGCAAAGTACACTCAACAGACTGCGCCCGGGCGACTGGTTTATGCTGGTCCTGGATCCGACTCGGATAAGATAAGCAATCTACAGCCAACGAAGAAGAATACCCCGTCTGCGTAATCGCCTCTTCACATCTCGGAGGGGCCGCGTGAAGGGAGGCGAGAGCCGAAACGCGCACGGGAGAGGCGCATTATATATTTATTTATATTAAAAGGTCCAAATACCAGAGTGTCACATACCACATCTAAAGCCACAGAGTTTCCAACACACACACACATATACACACAAAGGACAAAGACCCCCGTATAGCCTGTAAAAGACTGTAGGGGCAAGTGCTGTTAGCGAATAGCAGCACCTATGAAGGCCGGCACGACGGGGTGGGTTGGCCAGCAACCACGCCCGGCCGCCTTTGTCTCCCTCGTGGCGATGTTTACACACCACGCCAGGTGCTCGTCTTAGGCGGAGTTGATCTTGGGGAGGCCTAGGACCGGTTCAGAGGTTCGCCACTGATGTTGACCGTGTCAAACTCGACAGACACACATACACAGACCGTGACGCGGGTTGGTGCTGTGTATTGATATTGGCGATCAAAAGGGACACCACCAGCCAAGGCTTACACAAAAACACACAACACCACGATCCCCCGTATCGCCTACAGAGACTGTCGGGGCGAGTGCTGTTAGCGACTAGCACCCATGAAGTTACGGGACAGTACACGAGGGGGTGGTGTGGTCACAATCACGCTCGGCCGCCTTTGTCTCCCCAGGTTCCACGAGATGACACAGGGGAGGGTTCTTCACGATCACGGTGGACAGGGCCGCATTCATGTTACGAGGGGGCTAAGGCTAATAGCAAGGAAGGCTGAAGTATGAATTACATGATTGCAACAAAACATTAAGTCCTCAAACATGTATTTATTCACCTTTGTAAAATTAACAAATGTATTCGACTAGAGGTAGATTCATCAAACGTAAATCACTCCCTCCACTAATTTTTTTTTCAAACAAAATTAATCTTTCCTAGATCAAGTTGTGGCAAAGTCAAGCACGGCATCATCGTAATTCAAAACCAAAAAATGCTCAACTATGGAATGGAGGGTCTGACGGAGGAGGGCCTACAAAATGTGAGGCCTGATTATCCTATAGGTTAAAAACCGGCTCTGAAAAATGTGATGTCAGTTGACCTTCGGTTTTAAATGTTTTTTTACCGTATTTTTTGTTTCTCCAAGTTGTCTTCCAACTTTTGCTTTCGGAGCCACGGTGTGTTGCGACGAGGACATGTCCACCTGGACCTCTTGTCGTGGTGGGCAGAGAGTGACGCCGAATCCACTTCAAGAGGCCTCTCTCCACGCCAGATGCCACCATCTAGCCCGGTGGTCTTCGCCAATCTTCAGAGGGTGGGCCGCTTTCGCCGATAGAACATTGTCAGTGTGAGGGCCGCCACGCACTTGAAACCATTGAGGATTTGACAGCAGCACGATAAGCGAGGCGGGTCACCATTTGTGCATCGTCGGAAAGCCGCAATAAAGGTCACCAGGGGCCCGCGGGCATGCAATGAAGAACACTGCTCAATAGGGTGGCCACAAAGTGAGGAGACATACGGTCATTAATTTATTTCAACGCTTGCATTAACATAGTGTTTATTCTTTTAGATAATATTTTAGCCATTATCAATATTCATATCGATGTGTCTTCTTCTTCCAGTGGGGGTCACCTCAAATCTATCGTTTACAAAACTACACCAAGAGAACCCGGAATGAATCGAGACAAAACGTTATAGATGAATGTTCAAAGATTACACCTGCAATCGTAAAAAAAAAGTTCTAAATCATTTCATGAGCTGCCTGACATGGGTTGTGCGAGTCTTTGGGTCTCTGTGAGTCTATGCGTCTCTGCGTTAGTTTGTGGATCTCTCTGTGCGAGTCTTTAGGTATGTGTGTGTAAGTATACGAGTCTCTGTGTGAGTCGATGGATCTCTGTGTGCGAGTCTATGGACTTCAATGCGAACTCATGCGAGCGCTGTCCACGGGTCCTCATTATCCTCTGAAGCCGGTAGCTGCGTTCACGACGTAGATATCGATTAGTAGTCGCTACTCGCTTCACATTCACACAGAAAAAAAGGAGTCGGGAAGACCACAAAAGTATACATAGTACCAAAAAAAGGAAAATGCATTTACTGGGAAGAACGATATTAATCAACATCTTAACGATGAAAGGCGTTAATGTCGACAATTTCCATTGTTAAATGTTGAACGCGACGAGGCTTGTACCGATGTTCAACTCTTGGCCAACCACGCTTCGTCACACAGCTGCCAGAGTCGTCCCACACGCGAATATTTCCCCGCGCGTCGCAGGCAAAGCGCCCGTAGCAACAAGTCCCTTGGGGTGGCGGTCCAACCCGTGACAAGGCGAGAGGTTGGCATGGGCCCTGGTACAAGGAATGAAATGAGCCCCCCCACCACCCTCTTTCAAATTGCCTCCTCTTTGTAGACTGGCATCTGTTGGGCCCCCACAACCACCACCAACCCATCCTGCGCAGTTGCACCGCCTGCGCACGCGACCGCCAAGGCCATGGACTCCTCAACCGGTTCGAGAGCCGCGTGAATTATTAAAAACGCAGAACTCGCCGCCGCTGGCATTTTGGCGAATTAAAACATGAGCCAGAGCCCAGTTCGTGTGCGAGGTCTTGTGACAGCCAATTGTTTATTTATTAATTTTAAAAATCTGCCACCCACATTCGAGGAAGGGCTGGAACGGTCGTGCCGCCCAGAACCACGTTGCCGAGTATCAATGTGCTGGCGACCACTTCCTACTCCCCGCCTCGTACTTAAGAGGAAGAACAAAGGGAGAACGTAGAGTCAAAGGTTACTTCATGCTTGACGCGATGATTGCGTCCCAACCGCAAAGTGGTGGGAGGGGGGGGGGCACGTACTGCGGGGGGCAGGGGGGGGGGTGCGGTCACACTCACAACCGTTTTATTTATTTTCCCACCGGCACACCTACACACGCAGGCAACTCCACGGTTGCGGCTGATTTTTTTTTCCGAGCCGAGCCAGAACCCAAGCCTTGGCACACTGGCCTCACAAGAAGATTTGTTTGTTTGTGTGTTCCCCCATGCCTTTCGGCGCGGTGTGGTCGGGCTCGCGTGTTTTTCTAATACATTTTTTTTAAAAAGAGAATATTGTTTCTGTTGCTCCCTTGTTAAAATAGCTGGGCAAATGGATCACCCCTGTGACAAATGTATACTCAACCTAAAACTACGGCGAGGGAAATCTGTGGTTAAGCATTGCCGAAGGTGGGACCACCCCCCTGTCTCCTCAACTTAAAAACTCTGAATTTTTGCTCGGTGAGGGGCCAAGCAGGGCCAGGGGGCAGGGTTAATTATTCGACAAGCGTAGCGTGTGACACGTTAGTGGCATCAGCTCGGGTTCCCGCAGTGGAAAAACAACCCCAGGGGGGGCCTCCTGAGCTAGGCCCGGGCACGGCTCGCAATTGTCCGGTGGAAAAGAATCAGAAGAGGGAACCGAGTGGGACTACAGTACGTGGTGCACCAGACGACACGCGCGAGAGAGAGAGAGAGCGATAAAATGTAATGCAACGGGATCGACAAAATAAACACCAAAAATAATGTTTTACAATCATCCTATGTAGAGCTGACACTTAGAGCTATCGTCAGAATGTTACAGATTATTATCATCAGGAATTTTACACCATGAAGTTGAGATGAGACATTTGCCTCGAGATTAATAATAATAAACAATAATAATACAATTACAATCAATCTTGTTGCTTAAGTAAATGAATTAAAAAATAAAACGTACGTTTAACCACTTTCTTTAATAGTTGCCGGCTTAAAATATTCTTATTGCAGCTAGAGTTAACTATGATTAAGAGAGTCCACCCCCTTTAACCGTACCGCTTGGAAGTTTGCCAGGGGCGGTGCAAAGAACGTCGGGAGAGGCGATGGAAAGAGGGCAGTAAAAGTGAGCCTTCGAGACAACCCCCAACACCTGGATTTCCAAAAAAACATCCGCCGGGTCGGCAGGCTTCCGAAAGGAAGAACAACGCGCACGGAATCTTTCCGGAACTCTTCGATGGTAAGACGTTTGAACGGTGTGCGTACGCGCACAGTGCCAAGCCGGGCCGGCGAAATTATTCCGCGGAAATCTTTTCCCTCCCCATCCCACCGCCCACCGCCCACCACCCATCGCCCACCGCCCGGACCCCGCGTACGAACACCGGGAGATTACCGACCGGCACGCCGTTGTCACGGCCAGCAGAGCGGACCGGCGACACGACGCGGTGAGGAGGGGCGAGCGGAGAGCGGCAGACGGAGGAGACACGACTGCGACGACGCGTCACGGGGCCCGGCCGTCCGCTCGTACCTCGAGTTGTCCGGCGAAAGCGTACCTTTGTTTGTCCGTGTTAATCACGATCGTGTACCTCAAGAGTTAAAACCACACACACACACACAACAACACACGCGCGCGCACACACACTGTATATCTCTCCCCCTTTTCCTTGCATAGCTGCACGACTGCCGCTCGTGACGTCGGTGACGTCGCCGTGACGACGCGGTGACGTCGCTGTGACGTCACCGTGACATCGCAGTGACGACGTCGTGCCTACAACGATGACGCGATAACGACATTGCGGTGACAACGTCGCGGTGACGCGAGCAGTGTTTTGCTCTCCCATGGCGGCCGGTTTGTGTACGAGCGGCGTCGCACCTCCGAACACCAGCGGCTGAGGTGAAGCAGTGGGGAGGGCGTGGTGAGTTAGGGAGGCGAGGTGAGGGAGGCGAGGTGAGTGAGGTGAGGTGAGGTAGGGTGGTGTGGCTAGTTAGGGAAGTTAGGGTGGCGAGGTAAGTTAGGAAGGTGTGCCGAGTAAAGCTACCAAATGTCCAGGTTTGCCCGGGTCAGTCCTGGTGCTACTGGTGTCCCCCCTACAACGTTGGGGAAAGTTGGGATTCAGTCGCCGGTTTTAACACTGGCCTCACGCGCGACCCACAATGCAGCAGGCTAAGGGGCGGGGCTACCTGAGGAGGGGGGGACGGGGCTGCTGGCAGAGGGAGGGGCCTGGCTCTCAGCCCACCGTGCGTCCTGGTTGAGCCTCCCAGACATTTGGTAGCTTTAAAGTTCGGGAGAGGTGGATTAGGGAGGTGTGAAGACAGCGACGCCGACTGGTTAATCAGGACCCCCGAACGAGGGAGGCCAAGGTAGCCAATAACGACTTGGGGAGAGGCAGGAAAGAGAGGAACACGGACAAACCGAACATCTAGTGACTTTGAACGAACACCAAGCAGTTATACGACGCGGATGGCATTTACAAGCGTAGAACGAAAGAAGGCACAAGCTTCCCCCCCCCACCTCCATTCCTCCCTGCGTCCACGCCGACGTACGATCCCTCCCCGACCAGAGCTGACGCTTTTCGGAAGGGTGCACGGGAATTGCCAGACGTCCGATTGTGACGGCCGACCAAACTCGCGTCGTTCGATTCTCTCGTCAAAAGCCCGGGTCGCTGGCTAGACCGCGGCCAGGGTAAGGTTCCTTAGGCTGAGGTCCGATTGCGAAGGCCAAGGTCTGTTCGCTGATGCTTAGAGGCTGAGGCCGAGTAGCCAACGGCTTTCTGAGGGACCAGCGGCCTCTCGCGTGAAACAGGGTAGGGGGGGGGCCCTCTTTGAATTGCAACTCCACGGCGTGCAGGTAAAGACACGGCGACGAATCTGGCTTCGTTACAGATTAAGGCGGCACGCCGACCGACTGGGAACACTGAGCAGCGATTGAAGCCAAATTTGACGCGGCGTAAAATAATGTTGCGGCGGATTGCGCATCCCCCTGCCGCAGGTTATTAACCTCGTGGCCTGACACGTCTCGAGAAGGACACCGCAGCGTCTCGAGAAGGGATGACGGCCGGCGGCGGGGGCTAGGAAGAAGGAATTGCAGGTAAAAGAGGGAACGGGCCAGAGAGGGCATCCACGCAGAGATGGGGGCGATGGAATCGGCTATGGTGCATCGTGTGACCGTGACAACGGTTTGAGGATACCTTCATCCAGCAGTGAATAGACGAGGTGAATTTTACGTGACCGGACAATGAGCGAGTTCTGTGCCTCTACAGCAGTACTCAGAACGCAGGGCCTGGGCCTAGAGACCAAGGCTGCTGGGGCCGTTCCCCTCAGGTGGGATACTAATGCGAGTGAGGTGTGAGTAAGGTGCGAGTGAGGTGAGAGTGAGGTGCGAGTGACGTGAAAGTGACGTGAAAGTCTGGTGAGTGAGGTGCGAGTGAGTGCTGCGTGAGCGCGGAGTGCGGGAGGCTCGAGCCTAGGCGTAGATCTCTTGCGGCGGCGCCTTCTGATATCCGGCCTGGTAGGACTTGTTCTGCTCCAGCGCGTAGCTGCCGGCGTCCTTCTTCTTGAGGCGGTGGACGAGCAGCACCACGAGCAGCACCGCCAGCAAGATGCCGACCGCGCCGCCGGCAATCACCGCTGTGGGGGGGGGGGGGGAGCAGGGGAAGGGAGGAGGTGAGACGCGTAAATGGACGTCCGCATTGGCGCACGCAAACACGGCTTGCAGGCAGATGCACAAGCGACACACGCACAAGCGACACACGAAGACAAAGGTCCCCCGCGTAGCCTTAAGAGACTGTTGAGGCAAGAGCTGTCAGCGAACTCCTATGAAGGTGCAAGCATGGCGCACGAATGGGAGGGGGGGGGGGGGTTGCCAACACCGTGCCCGGTCACGCCCGCGAACACACGCACGTGACAACGCAGACGCACACGCGCATCTGTGCACGCGAGTGCCACACGCACGCAGCCTTCGGAGCAATTCCACAATATATGAGGAAGGTGAAACCACCGCAAAAACGTCACGCAGAGACGATTGTAATACGATCCAACTACAAGGAGACTTGCAGCATAAACCTGCATTGCCGTGAGGAAGACACCACGAATGAAATCCGGCCAAATGCGTGGAAGGGTTTTGCCCTAAACCTGGACGTGAAAACAGCGCTGAAAAGAAAAATAGTGCACGCACTTACGCACGCACACAGGCACACACGCCTGTACGAACTTCCCTTTGCAGGTGACGTGACGGCACGCGACATTGTCCTGCGGAGGAGTCTCATCGTGCGGCTTGAAACACAACGTTAATCTTAGCACGCTGATTATTATTATTATTCCCACCGCTAATTGTCGACCATCTTAATTCGCATTCTCGACGCGTCGTACATTCCTGCACGAAGCACGCCGGCCCGGCGTTACGGGCGTCAGGGTCACGCGTGACCTGGTCTCCGGGGCTCGCCTTTGGGATTTTCCAATCGGGCTGGCCGAACGTCTTGTATCGAATCCTCGACGCCAAGTTGGAAAGCGTCGCAGACTCCACGCGGCTAAGCGAGATTTCTTTCCATTCCCTCTCTCTCCCCCTCTCCCCACGCACAGCACGCGAACAGCAGGGCGGGGGACGTCGGCCACTCACCCGCCAAGACCTCCGTCTTGTCGAAGAAGCCTTGGCCCTGGCTGTTGGACTTCTCGATGTTGCTGCTCAAGGACGGGGGCGGGGCGCTCGTCGCGATCTCCACCGCGTTGCGGCCGTACCCGAGGTTGTTGTCCAGGCGCACGCGCGACGGGGCCTACGCAACCATCGCACGAGACAAAGGTCCCCCGTGTAGCCTTCGCTGACGACCTTCGGGGCAGGCGATGGTTTCGCGAAGGCCGACGCAGCACGCCAAGGGGGGGTAAGGTGGCCAGCACCGTGCCCGGCCGCCTTTGTCTCCCCAGTGGCGATGTTTACAACTACACGCCGCACCGGGTACTCATTTGAGGCCGAGTCGACCTAGGGGCAGCGGTTCAGATAATCGTCACCGGTGTTGGCGGGAATCGAACTCGGGTCGCCGGGTTCGTAGCGCAGCGTGCGCTAACCGCTACACTACCGCTCCGACGGATTCACACACAGGCACAGTCCACCAATGAGCTCACGACACTACTGAAAAAAAACGCAGCAAGGCAGCTGGGTTTGTTTACGCACACACGCACACATGCCGCACAAACGTGCGGCGCGTTTGAACACTAACTTCAACAAACAGACGCGTTGTGTGCGTGCGTGTCGGTGCGTGCGTGTCGGTGCGTGCGTGTCGGTGCGTACCTCTGTCACTGGACGTTTGCTCACCACGGAAATGGAGCCTGCGGGTGACATGCGGCACACGTTACACGACACACGGTCTCACACGATAGTCCACGTCGCACAAAGGCAAAGATCCCCTGAATAGCCTTGATAGGCTGGTGGGGAAAGTGCTGTTAGCGAGTAGCAGCTATGAAGGCTGGCACGGCACACTAGGAGGTGGGTGGCCAGCACCACGCCCGTCTAACCTTGTCTCTCTAGAGGTGATGTTCACACACTACACCAGATACTCATTTGAGGCTGAGTCGACCTAGGGGAGGTGCAGGACCGGTACAGATAATCGTCTCTACCCCTATCCCTACCCCGTCTCTACCCCTATCCCTACCCCCGTCTCTACCCCCGTCTCTACCCCCGTCCCTACCCCCGTCCCTACCCCTATCCCTACCCCCGTCTCTACCCCTTCGTCTACCTCACACCCCAACCGCACCCTATCTCTACCCCCCCCCCCACCCCCCGTTTGTTCCTACCGTTGCGCTGCTCACCAGACGCGGAGCCCTCCGTGTCGTCGTCGTCGAAGGAGTTTTCGTCGTCCAAGAAGTTGCCGGAGCCCTCCTGCTGGGGTTCTAGAAAGACGTCATCTTCCGCCGGCAGCACCTGCGACGTACCGGGATACACACACGCGGACAGGGGGAGACGGACAGAGAGCCAGGGACATAGAAAAACGGTGGTCAGTGCAGGAAAATCGAATGGTTGTACTGTACGATGCACCCGCATCTATCCTTGCTGTCTTCACCACATGGCTGGGTGTGTGGATGGGTGGCTGGGGGGTGGGTGGCTTGGTGCCCGGGTCGCTGGGTGGCTGGGTAGCTTGCTGGGTGACTAGGTGGCTTGGTGGGTGACTGGCTGAGTGGCTAGGTAGGTGACTGGGTGGGTGACTGGGTGGGTGGCTGGGTGGCTCGGTGGGTGGGTGGCTGGCTGGGTGACTAGCTGGGTGGCTGGCTGAGTGGCTAGGTAGGTGACTGGGTGGGTGGCTGGGTGGGTGGCTGACTTGCTGGGTAGGTGGCTGGGTGGGTGGGTGACTGGGTGGGTGACTGGGTGGATGACTGGATGGGTGACTGGGTGGGTGGCTGACTTGCTAGTTTGGTGGCTGGGTGGGTGGCTGGGTGGGTGACTGGGTTCGTGGAGGAATTGAATCGCGGGAGAGGTTGGAGCAAATCGATCCACCCGGTGACTGAAAAAAACCCAACAACAACTGGGGGTTGCGAGAGCCTCGTGCGCAATTGGCTGGAGCAGCGGCACCAAGCGCTTGGCCTGGCGCTCAGCCTCGTTCGCGTTCCTGCGTCACCAAATGAACAAAATGTTTCACAACAAACACGACTCCGGGTGCGGGCCGCGGGGCTCCCATCGAGCCGCGAGCGATCGACAATCGAGCGCTCGTGGCGCGCGCTTTCCTCTTTCCGGGTTATTTATTCATTCATTCTTCTTCAACAACAACAACAACTAGGACAACGACAACAACAGAGAGAGAGAGAGACGCAAAAAAAAACTACTTTGCGCACGACGGAGAAATAAAAAAAACAATCGCAGCCATCGCCCAGCCGAGGCCGTGGGGGGGATCAGGAGGAACACGCTCCGAGGGGGGCCTGCTCGGCCACTAACAGACCCCCCCCCCCCACCGCCCCCCCACTTGCGCTGAGATCGGCATCCACTTCCCCGTGGGCCTTTGTCGGACTCGGGAGGTCGGCGGCGCAGCTCCTGCGGGAGTTTCAGGATTGGGCCGTGGGAATTACAAACCAAAAAAAAAACATGAGGCTCGTTGTAATTACTGGCGAAACGTTACGGTACTCGAATTGTACATGTTGTGGGTTTTACTCTCCAACACGCCGGTGAGCTCAACTAGTAACGAATTGGCACGTTCCGTTTACGTGACAAACCTTAATAATTGGCTGTGCCGGGTGGTGGCGGGTTTAACGACACTTATATATTTACGCGATCTAACCCCCCAAACGAAATCTCTATTCTCGATAATATTGGTCGCGAAAGCCTACTACTACATACATATACGAGTCCCCCAATGTCCACAGAGGTCAAGGGAAATGAGTGGGCAGAAGAGCCAAATCATAATTCCTCCACCGCTTGTTTTGCCCGGGAAAAGCCTCCCTGCCAAGTTGTCACGGTGGGCGGTGATGCCTGCTGGTGTGCGATCACGGTGAGTAATATGCGGCGAAATATTTTCAAGTTTGGCAAGTTTGGGCCGTGACTCTCGCAGAACGACATCACGGGGTCCCCAACGTGCGCCGTGAAGCAGAGGACGCGTTGCATCGCTGGGGTTAGCACGCTCGCAGCAATAACCGGGGCGGCCGCCAAGTTCCAACCTCTGCCGGACCTCCGATATTAGCACGGCTGGCTACGCACGGCGCGAAAACCCAACGCGACGAACGAGAAGCGCCACACGACCCACCACAGCGTGAGGGGTGGGAAGCACCAACGAGTTCACGAGGCCTTCCTTCACGGGGGCCGTCACGGCGGCCCCCACGGGAGGCCTCGCATCTCGCGGAGTCTGAGAACGCAGGGGCCCCAAGTGGCCTTTCCCGGGGTCCTTCCTGGACCGCCGAGCTACCCGGTTCCCACCGTCCGTGGAAACGTGCCGCCACTACTGGGGGGGCAATGGGATTTTAGTGACCTTTGTTTCATTATTTTTCCCCTTTTTTTCGGACAGAAGATTGAAGATCGGAAGGAAGGGCAAGGAGGAATTGGGGGGGGGGGCGACTGGGAAGAAGGGGGCCACAGAGTGGTCAGGACTGGCTCCTCACACGAGGCAGAGTCGCCCAGGCAACTGCTAACTTGATTTCCGCCCTAAATTGGTGCCAGATGTCTAACGAGCCTTCCCCGTGGCCCCCGTTAACCCCTTCCTGTCCGGCTGCTTGGGCCGGACAAAGTCCCCCCCCACGCCCCCCCCCCCGCCTACCCCTCAAAAAATAATAAGGGGCGCTCGCTGAGAACGTACGGTACACGTGGTGAGAACGTACGGTACACGAGGTGAGTACGCACTGTACACGTGGCGAGAATCTACGGTACACGTGGTGAGTACGCACGGTACACGTGGTGAGAATCTACGGTACACGCGGTGAGAACGCACGGTACACGCGGTGAGAACGCACGGTACACGTGGTGAATACGCACGGTACACGAGATGAGAACGCACGGTACACGAGGTCAGTACGCACGGTACACGCGGTGAGTGCGTACGGTACACGCGGTAAGAATCTACGGTACACACAATGGCAGCAAGGCACTCTTGAACTCTTGTCAACAGCGCAAACGAAAACACGTTTATGTGCTTTAGGAAACGTAAAGTTGGTGTCGTAAAGGACCTCGGGGCGGGACTGCCGGGGCGTTGCGAGCACGCTTCGACCGATCGCTCTCTCCGCTCGGAATGCCGTTACCGCAGTTCCGAAGCGGAGCGGTTTTTCCATTCAGGGCCCCCCACCCCCTCGCCCCCCACCCCCTCGCCCCCCACCGCCCGTTCCTGTGACATGAACACGCGTCGCAGTGCGAGCCCACGGCGGTCGCAGTGCGAGTCGTTGCCGTCCTCCGTCTCGCCACGGCGACGGATCCTCCCAGCGGCGCGGAGCGAAGACGACGCCGGGGTTCGTCTCGGCCGGGCAGCCCCGTCGCAATGACGACGACGGCAGCGAACACAGCCCGAGAGCGTGGGCAGTGGTGGCAGTCACAGGGCAGTGGAGCAGTTACACCGAGACCCAACAGAGTTACGCAGAGAGCCGCAGTGCTACGCAGAGATCTACACGGTGAGATGGAGATTCATCGGCCTGCATAGATATCTGCAGTTGTACAGAGGTTCACAGTGTTAAAGAAATATCCGCCATGTCACGTAGAGATTCCCAGGGTGATATAGATATCTGTACGGTTTAGATACTCTCAGCTGGGTAAGGCCCAATTGAGCTAAGCAGCTCTTTTACAGGGACATCCACAGCCCAGGGATTGTCGGCAGTGGCGGCAGTTACAGGACGTTGGGGTTAAATGGGGACCCGTAGAGTTACATCGAGAACCAGAGGGTTACAGAGGGACCCGTAGAGTTACAGAGCCACAGAGTTTTAAAGAGACTCGGACTACAGCCCGGGAAGTGTCGGCAGTGGCGGCAGTTACAGGACATGGCAGGGTGGAGGGAATGTGCAAACTAGCAGGAGCAAAGACAACGACAACTTATTTGCAACGAGACCCAGGCCAGAAGAACACGGCGGTTCGACCCTGAATACTTAGTGAGGATCTCCGTGGGCAGACCCCCCCCCCCTTACCAACAAAAACCTCCAGCAGAAAAAAAACCGAACGCCAGCCTTGGACGAGAGGGACGTGAAGAAAAATAAAAAACCGCGGTCGGTCACCGGTCGGACGGCGACCACAGCGAGCGGGGGGTGGGGGGGGGACGGACGCTCCGTCGTCAGTCGTCAGTGGCACAGCGGGGACGCATCGATCACAGACGGCGACGTCCAGCGAGCTGTCACCGCGGACAGCGCCCGCCACCGCCACCGCCACCGCCGCAACATCTCCATCAGTCTCAATTTTGTTTCGCCGGAGTCATTTAGAACGTGCTTGGCTATGTGGGTGGGTGTGTGTATTTATTAGGTGCTCGCTAACAGCACTTGCCCCTACAGTCTGTTAAGGCTATACGGGGGATCTTTGTATTTATTAGATCTCTGTATTTGTGTTCGTCTCTCCTCTTCTTAATTTCACGGCTCTGTCGACAAAAGCCAACGGAGAAGCAGTGGGGCCGGGCTTGCAAGGGGTCTTCGTTGCCAAAGCTGCCGCGTCCGGTGGAGACGACAGATCTGACGGAGTAATTTTACTTCGCTCAAATTAAGGGCGTCCGTTTGGCGCAGATGACGGTAACTATTTACCATTCACTTTTTTTTATTTACCACGTAAGGCCAACTGAGCTTTGTAGCTCTTTTTCAGAAGCCACAAATGATAGCTCAACCAAGTGGCTGGTTGTCATGTGGAAATGTACAGCAATCAAATACTCGAAATGCATGGAGGGAAAAACCGGAGGACCCGGAGAAAAATCCACGCAACCACGGGGAGAACGTGCAACCTCCAGATATACAGGCGCCAGAGTCGAGATCGAACCCACGACCTTCTGTACACCAGGCGAGGGAGTTAACATCTCCTAGCCACCGCGGAGGCCACTGACGGTCGCGTCTAAATTGACGTGACAACACGCGGCAGGTGGGGCCACCGCGCTCAGGGGCGAGCGTCTCCCACTCGGCGGACCCCACAGCAAACCCGCTGTGGTATGCGATCCTTCAACGCAGGAGGAGGAACAGCGACACGACACGAACTCTCTCTCTCTGCCGATGCCCTCTCGTCGTGGCTAGCAGCTGCAGACCTCGACATTGGCATCGAGCGCCAGAACCACACTGCCATCATACGCAAGAATAGAATAGTTTCGTTTTTGTTTTGCTTTGCTACAGATGATCGTAATTGACAGACGTGATCTCTCGCGATTTGCCGATGTGAACTCTCGTGATTGATTGACGTGAACTCTCGTGATGTTCGAGAAGGGATAGAGATTCACAGGGTTACATGGAGATCTGTAGTGGAGGCTCGTAGACTCACACTTTATTATTTCAGCTGGC